ACTTGCTGCTGGTGCACTCAATCCCCTGATCCAACATGTCAATAAAGACATTAAAGAGAACTGGGCCCGACTCTGACCCCTGGGGACACCTCTAGTGACCAACTGGACATGGCACTGTTCACCACCACTCTCTGGGCCCGGCCATCCAGCCAGTTATTATCCATCATTGCTATTTTCTGTCTCCTTGCTCTTGCATCATTCCTTCTCTTCAGTACAAGTGGCAGCACAAGGGGCCAGAAAGCAATGCCTTAGTGATGGGCAGAGCTCTGACAGTCTCACCTGGCAGTGCCCTTAGGCAGAGCCTGGAAGGTGTCACAGCTCATAATTCCTGCCTTTTCTGTTTGCTCAGTGATATTATCTCAGCACTGTCCACTAATGAAAAATGGATTGTCCCCAGACTGTTCCCAAGTACAACTGCACAGCCCTTGTGTGATGGGTGAGCTGGACAAGTGCCACTCCAGCTTGGTTCAAGTCACTTTCTCAGACACATTGGTGTGAGTTGCATTGCAGAAGTAAAGGTTTATTAGAGCAGTGTATCCACAGAGTGTGAGCCCTCATACAAAGAACCAGGTGGCAAAGACAAGTTGAGTAAGACAAGCATTGCAGGGTGGAGGAAGGGGCACTGAGGAGGTGACCAGGCTCTCCTTCCCCTTCCTCTGCCTCAGCTGCGCTGCAGAACTGCCAGGTCAGTCTCTCGCTGTCCGTGCTCAGTGTGTCTCAGCCCGAGGATGCTCTGCTGCTCCCTAGCACACTCGTGACTGCCCTGTGTGAAGACAGAGCAAATCATTGCTTGAGGGGAAGTCTGAGCTTAAAAAAAAACACAGTGTCAGCAGCAGAGGCTCAGAGGCTCCACACCCAGCAGCACCCTGGAAGCTTCCTCAGAACTGTATGGGTTTTATTCCAACAAGGAAAAAAGTATATCATATCCCACAAAGTTTATAAACTGTATTTTATATCCAGGCAGAGGGAAGGGCAGGACTTGCTGGTTTTTAACCCCTGATTCCTCTCTGACAGAGTCACTGAGGTTCCCTCACTCCTGGGCTAAAGGAAATGGGAATCTTGTCCAGCCCAAAGTACAAAACTTTATTCTGTAAAACATGTTGCAGCCACAGGGGAAGATATACCCACTACCAACCACATCCTTACAAAGTGGTGTCTTACCTGCCATGTCCCCACACTGGGAGTGAGAGTAGGAAACAGAATATGATTGGGAAGATTTTCCACCTCCTTGGAAAGCTGCTTGGGAGGCACTGTAAAAGGAGAGTAATTCATTCACCAAAACCCACTAACAGTGGATATTCAGTCAAAAGAGATGCTGAAGTAGCTCCAGGGACAAGAAGTTACTATTGGCACATAAGTACACAAGGATTCAGTGTTATTCCCTTGCTATGATGTGGAATACTCACGCGATGTCCTGCTGTCCCTCCTGCAGCAGTGCCCGGTACTGCTGGATCTCCTGCTCCAGGCGGCTCTTGATGCCCAGCAGCATCTTGTACTCCTGGTTCTGGCTCTCCATCTCGCAGCGGATGCTGGCCAGCTCCTCCTCCACGGAATTGATCTGCCCCTGGAGCTAGAGTGGATCTGCCCCTGGAGCTGTTGCAGCAGGCAGCCGTAGCGAGTCTCAGTTTCTGCCAGGGAGTTTTCCAGAGAGCTTTTCTGGAAGGGGAAACACAGGAGATGAGAACTGGAGCTCCCTGGCTGCCCTGAGGAGGGAAGAGCCCAGAGGGATGCTGCCCACGTACAGTGCTGAGCTGTGCCTGCAGCTCAATCTCCAGGTTCTGCATCTCTCGTCGCAGCTCGGTGAGCTGGTGGCTGCTTGTCTGGATGTCCTGACTGCTGGAAGTGACCTGCTGATTGACCTCTTCCATCTGTGGAGTCAAAGCCCAGAGACACGTTCTGAGTGAGAACATCCCCTCAGGGAGATTTGCTGAGATTTTGCTCAGGTCTCCAGGGAGCCTCTCCCTTTCCTCCTGCCCTGGTACCAGGGTGTTTGGGCTGTCCCACTCTGGACATCATTACGTACCTTGACTTCATACCACTGCTCCACCTCCCTTCTGTTCTTCTCAATGATCTGCTCATATTCACTTCTCAGGTCATTCAGGATCTTGGTCAAGTCTTGGCCAGGGGCAGCATTGACCTCCACACTCACAATCACCACTGGTTTGAGACTGCAGCTGCCTCAGTTCCTGCAGGGAGACCAAAGAGAGACATAGGTCACTTCTTGTGCTGGGACTGTGGGCAATCCCATGGCATAAGGCAGAATTGACTTGCTATGTGATAGTGGAACCCTGAAGAAAAGGATTATGCCTTGGCTGTGCTATTTAGCATTGGATTGTACCTCCTCATGGTTTCTCTTCAGAGCAATAAGCTCATCCTTCAGGGACTCCAGCTCAGATTCCAGTGAAGATCTAACCAGAGTCAGGTCATCCATGAGATTTCTCAAGCCATTGATGTCAGCCTCCACGGTCTGGCGGATGACCAGCTCGTTCTCATACCTGTGTCACACAAGAGAGACAGAATGGGGAAATGAGATGCTGACAGTCAATAGCACACATCCTTCAGCGCCCCAATAGAACAGGAGGACTCAGTAACACCAGCCTGGGCAGTGCTGTCTTGTCTCCTGAGGCTATGAGTGGGATTTGAGACAGACAGTGCTCACAGGGACGTACTCACTTCATCCGGAAGTCATCGGCAGTCATCTTGCTGTTGTCGATGTCCAGCAGCAGTCTGTTATTGTCCACAGTGGCAGAAATGATCTGCAAAAGGGCAAGGTGGAGAGGAGTCTTTCTGTATTCTGCATTTCCAGAACAAGAAGAGAGAAGGCCTAAAGATTTGGTAGGGTTTTGGTGTGGGTCTTGGAATTGTTTCCTGCATTAATGCAGCAACCATATGGAACAATAACACTCCAAATGTACTGCCCAAGGACACTTGTGCTATCACAGACCATCCTCCCAAATCCCTGCTCTCTGCCTCCCTCTCTCAAGTTACAGACAAGTCCCCACAGGTCCCAGGAGTGTGTTCAACCCTTCCCCAGAGATGTGTTTCCTCATGATCTGTCTGCTCTATTTTCTTGGTACCATGTAAGCTGATTGTAAGGGAAGATCTCTGTCCTTCCACCTGGTGTCTGCAGGTGTGTGCAGAGACAAAGGGAGCTCAGATCCTGCCATCCAGGTGCTTTGGCTTTGCACTCCATCCAGATGAACTGGGTGGGAGTAGAGGGAAGGACTGAGAACCACACATGGCTGGTTTGGAGCCACCTGCAGAACGTGGGATTTTGGTTCCGTGTGCTGCAGTGTCTGTGGCTGGTGGAGCTCCCTGGTGCCTGGGGCTGTGTCCCCAGAGCACATCCTGCTCTGTGGGGATTTACTTTTACCCAAGTGACAGGAGGAGCAGCTCTGCAGGTTTCTGTCTGCAGGTGGTAGAGCCTGGTGCCCGGGAAAGGAGGAAGGAAGGAGGAGGAAGGAGAAAGGCCTTGCAGGTGAGAATAGCATGTGGGACATGAAGCCACATTAGTCAGGGTGATCCTACCTGGTTTTGCAGTTGTTCAATGGCCTGGTAGTAGGAGCTGTAGTCCTTTGAAGCAGTAGGTGCTTGTTTCCTGTACCACTCCCGGATGTGATGCTCCAGCTGAGCATTCTCCTCCTCCAGCCTTCGCACCTTGTCCAGGTAAGCAGCCAGGCGGTCGTTGAGGTTCTGCATGGTGACCTTCTCATTGCCATTCAGAAGCATGTCTCCCCCAGCACCAAAGCTCCCTGGAAAGCTCCCAGCAAAGCCCCCTCCAAGGCTGCCAGCGCTCATGCCCCCGCCGTAGCCCATGCCACACGCTGCCCCTCCATAGCTGCCGCCCCCGACCACAGAGGAGGCATATCGCCGGCAGGAC